AAGGGGGAGAAAAGAGGAGACATTTGTAATACTCTTTGTAATACTTTAAGAAAAAAAAAAAGACAGAGTCCTTGCCCTCAAAAAATAAATAAATAAATAAATAAATGTGCATTTTCTTTTAGCTGCTCTGATTGCTTGTTTTTTTAAGGGAACGTTAGGACAATGTGAACCATAACAACATCTGAATCATAGTAGTATCAGAAAGTGAGCAAGGAAGGAATAGAGAAACAAACAGTTTGAAGAAATAATGGCAGAAAACTGCTGAAGGAAAAACAAGATGAACCCAAAGAGGCCCACACCAAGACACATCATAATTAAAATGACAAAGGTTACAAAGAGAGAATCTTAAAAGCAGCAAGAGAGGCACAGTTAGTTACTTACAAGGGAGTCCAAAAGGCTGTCAGCTGATTTCTCAACAGAAATACTTCAGCCAGAAAGAATTGGATGAAGTAATGAAAAACAAGGACGTGAAACCAAGACCACTCTATTCAGCAATCCTATCATTTAAAATTGAAGGAAAATTAAAGAACTTCCCAGACCAAAAAAACAAAAACAAACAAACAAACAAAAAAGGCTAAAGGAGCTCATTATCACCAAATCAGTATTGAACCAGTATTGCAAATAATGTTAAAGGAACTGCTTTAAGAAGAAGAAGAAATATATAGAGAGGAACATGATGATGATGACTCCAAAACATATAAAACTGCATTTTCAAAATCACAGAGTTGACATATATACTGAAATGAAAATTCTAGATTTTTGTGACTACAAAACTGTGGATTAGTTCCTCAAAATTGAACCTCCCCCATCTCCTTTTTTGGTGATTGGGGTGGTCCTTGTATTGCTTATGCCCCATAACTCTCCATCAACTGGGACACACCTCTTTAACTTTTAAAATACACCATGATATCGTGAAGAAAACTCACCTGATGTCTCCACACGGCAGTAGTGATAGGGGTTAATGCACACCTCTTTCTGCTTGGAGCCAAATGGGAACTCACAGCATTCCAGGGGCTTCAGCTCATGGTGAGATTGCAGATCAGGCCAACGCCACACTCGGCAATAAATAACGTGAGGCAAACCCTTGCGGTGGGACACCTGCAGCCGCCCGTCCAAGGATCGAGGAATCGTAACACATTTGCTGGGCTGCCCTGGACAGCTGAGAGCCCTCTCCAGCTCATCCATGGCTCCTTTCTTCTTCTTTAGCTTCTTCACTAAAGAGTCTACTGCCTTCTCTGCCCACTTTTCCTCTTCATCTCCTTGCTTCCAGCCTAGCAGTCTCTTCACTGCTGGACTGGTGAAGGAGAAGAGAGAGCTGATGGGGGTGCTGGAGTGCATAAGAGGTTGACTGCAGGTGTCCGGTGAAAACAGGAACTGGACAGACAGCCCTTCAGTGCCTGCAGGGCTTAAGAGAAGTAAGCAGCAAGTAACTCTCCGGGGATGTCATAGATCTTCCTTTTCTTCTGGTAGTCATTGTGACAAATTCAGGTTGGGAAGCATGTTGACATTCTCCTAAGCCCTAGAAAGGACTGGCAAACTCTGAAAAATAAGACAAGACTTCAGTTAACTTAAGAATAATTTTCAGAAAAGGTTAAAGTTCAACATAAGGGAGAAATTCTTCAAATGTTTTAGACTTGAAAACAGTCATTTTAACTCTCTCCTCTCCTTTATTCCCTACTAGAGGCCTGTTGCACGAAATTTGCACATGGGTAGGGTCCCTAGGCCTGGCCGGCAATCAGGGCTGATCAGGGCCTTCCAGCTGCTGGCCAGGGCCTTCCTTCCCCAGCTGCTGGCTGCCGGCCGGAGCCTGTGCCGGGTGCCAGCAGCAGGTGCGAGCAGCAGCTCTGGCGCGGGCAATGGGTGTGAGTGGGGCCATTGCCGACAGTGGGTGTGAACAGCAGCTTTGGCACTGGCAGTGGGTGTGAGTGGCAACTTCAGCACCGGCAGCAGGTGCAAGCACCCATCAGGACCCCCGCTCACCTGCTCCACCATCCTGCCAAGGCTGATGCCCGCCATGTTCTGCGCTCTGCCACCTGCTGCCGATGCATGCCATTTCCGCACACGTCCCCTGGTGGTCATAGCAACCAGTTGTTTGGTTGTTCCGTTGTTTGGTTGTTCCACCATTCTATTTGCATATTAGGGTTTTATATATATAGATATCCAAGTTTTGGTATTTCTGCATTCAAAATTTCTATGAAAAATTGTTTTTGTGGCAATGTACATTTTATTAACTCTTTTTTTCCATTTAGTATTCTATTTATTATTTTTTTCTTTATGAAGGTATTACATATGTGTCCTTATCCCCCTTATGCATGCATACAAGTCCTTTGGTTGATCTCTCCCCCTCCCCCGCACCCTTCCCTGCTTTCCCTCTGAGTTTGACGGTCTGATAGATGCTTCTCTGTCTCTGGATCTGTTTTTGCAAATGTTGAAAATTTCTCTTCATTTACACCAATATCTGAGGCATAGCCCACCTCACTACTCACCTATATTACTGAGACAAGCTATAAAGTAGCTTCTCTCTTCTAATTCCAGCCATTTTTTCCCAAATACAATTTTTAATCCTCACCTGAGGATATGTTTATTAATTTTTAGAGAGAGGAAGGGAGAGAGAGGGAAACACACACACACACACATACACCAATGTGAGAGAAAAAAACATGGAGCGGCTGCCTCCTGTATGTGCCCTGACCAGGGATTGAACCTGACCTGGAATGGAACTTGCAATCTTTTGGTGTACAGGACAATGCTCCAACAACTGAGCCACCCAGCCAGGGCTAAATACAATTTTAATAGGTCATTTGCCTGCTTAAGAAATTACAGTTGCTTTTTGGTTTCCAAAATATAAACTTTTCTGCCTCGGTCTCTAGGGCCTCCAAAATCTTTCCTCAACATACTCATGCTTCTTCCTTTCTCATTTATAATTTGAACAAGTAATCCACCTCTGTTGTGGAATATATAAGTGAAAAAGGAAACAAGTAGGATCACTAATAATCTCACCACTCATATGTTCTTCCAAACTACTTTATAGGACAGTGGTTCTCAAAGTGTGACTCAAGGACCCCTTGAGTCCCAGAGTCCCTTTCATGGGAGTTACAAGGTCCTCTCTTTCTCAACTATGTATCTGAGTCATTAGATTTTCTCATGTACTTCAACTCAAATAACATATCACAACAGACTGTATGCAAAAGTGAGTATGAGAATCCAAGTGTTATCCATCAAATCAGCCATTAAAGAGATTTGCAAAGATAGAAAACAATAACATTCTTCTCACTATTTTTTTCAAAAAACATCATTTTTGGATAAAAAATATGTCGATGTTACTATATGATATGATATGAAAATAAAATTCAAAAGATACAACATACCCATTAAGAAATTACAGTTGCTTTTTGGTTTCCAAAAAGCATGGGTATGTTGTTGGTTGCTCAGTGACCATGCCTAAGCACTGGACAGTTAGAACCTGTGAATGATCCCTGAGTACTGCTTCTTGGTCAATGTGGCTAAGAAAAGCCTACATCACCTACCAAGCTGTACACAACAATTAGTCCAGGGGTCAGGTAGCACTCATCCATTCTGGAAGGTCCCATTCCAGAAACATTCACCATGACAGAACATCATTGTTTCATTATTGTTTTGTTTTTAAATTTTCAACTTTATCAGTTTTGACCCTCTAATCCATGAGCAGCATAAATATACCTTGGTGTCCCTTCTTTAAGAGTTTACTAACCAAATTTAGAACTTGAACACACTTGCCAATGGAATACTTAATTTCCTTAAAAGAATACTGCTTTCTTGATGACTTTTATAACACTTTTTGTCAGCAGTAATTAATACAACAATAAGTGCTATTTAAGTGTATAAACAGATCCATCTAGAAGATAGTTGACTTATGATCAATATTGGCATATGTATATATCATGTCTTATTACTGTACTGATTTCTTAAAGAGAAACCAGGCTTAACATACACACATATAGATGTATATATTTTATTAATTTAAATTGTCCTCACTTAAAAACTAGTCTGTTATACCTATGTGTTACAAATTAGAGGGAATCACAAGCTTATATTGTAAGGTATAAATAACTACCTCATACACGTTCAAAGTTAGTGGCATGCAATTAATTGAATAAACATGGAATGGTATCATGAGTTCATATTCTGGGAAAGAGGCTTTTTAAGCTATGTTCAGAGATAACCTACAAATCTCTGAGAAGAAAGTTTCCATTCACCAGTCTCCTAGTAAGTATCTTGTTAATGGTAGATATCTTCTGCCCAGAGTGCCAAAGGATGATGGTAGAGATGCATTTTTATAATATGGGCTGTATTCAAGAGGGCCATGTGGGTTTTCAGGGCCTCTATGGACCTTTGAATTGTCTGCTTATTTAGGGTGATTGTGTATATAGATTTTTCTAGGGAGACAGCCATAGGTATTTTTCTTCAAATTCTTTTTTTTCTGTTACTTTTATTTATTTTAAAATTCTTTATTGTTTAAAGTATTACATATGTCTCCTTTTCCCTCTATTGACCTTTCCTCGGCCACTCCCACCCCCCAGCACAAGCCCTCACCCCCCTAGTGTCTGTGTCCATTGGTTATGCTTAAATGTATGCATATAAATCCTTTAATCTCTGACCACCCCCCATCCCCTGCCTTCCCTCTGAGGTTTGACGGTCTGTTTGATGCTTCTCTGTCACTGAATCTATTTTTGTTCATCAGTTTATGTTGTTCATTGTATTCCACAAATGAGTGAGATCATGTGATATTTAAATTTCTCCCATGGGCTTATTTCACTTAGCATAGTGCTCTCCAGGTCTATCCACGCTGTTGTGAATGGTAAGAGTTCTTTCTTTTTTACAGCAGGATAGTATTCCATTATGTAGATGTACCACAGTTTTTTAAACCACTCATCTGCTGATGGGCACTTAGGCTGTTTCCAAATCTTAGCTATTGTAAATTGTTCTGCTATGAACATAGAGGTGCATATATCCTTTCTGATTGGTGTTTCTGATTTCTATTCCTAGAAGTGGGATCACTAGGTCAAATGGGAGTTCCATTTTTAATTTTTGAGGAAACTCCATACTGTCTTCCACAGTGGCTTCACCAGTCTGCATTCCCACCAGCAGTGCATGAGGGTTCCTTTTTCTCCACATCCTCACCAGCACTTGTTGTTTGTTGATTTGTTGATGATTGCCCTTTTGACAGGTGTGAGATCGTACCTCATTGTCGTTTTGATTTAACATCTCTCAGATGATTAGTGACTTTGAGCATGTTTTCATATGCCTCTTGGCCTTCTGTATGTCCACTTTCAAAAAGTGTCTATTTAAGTCCTTTGCCCATTTTTTGATTGAATTGTTTATCTTCCTTTTGTTAAGATGTATGACTTCCCTATGAATTTGGGAGATTAGACCCTTATCAAATATAAGATTGGAAAAATATGTTCTCCCATGCAGTGAGCTTTCTTGTTGTTTGGTTGATGGTTCCTTTTGCTGTGCAGAAACTTTATTTTGATGTAGTCCCATTTGTTTATTTTCTCCTTGGTTTCAACTGTTCTAGGAGCTGTATCAGTAAAAATATTGCTACAACAAATGTCTGATATGGCTGCCTATGGAGTCTTGTAGGACTTTTATGGTTTCCCACCCATCTTACATTTAAGTCCTTTATCGATTTTTAGTTTATTTTTGTGTATGGTGTAAGTTGGTGGTCTACGTTCATTTTTTTTTTTGCATGTACCAGTACAATTTTCCCAACACCATTTTTTGAAGAGACTGTCTTGACTCCATTGTATGCACTTGCCTCCTTTGTCAAATATTAATTGAGCATAATGGCTTGGGTCAATTTCTTTTTTTATTCCAGATGAATTTTTGGAGAGTTTGTTCTAGGTCTGTGAAATATATTTACACTCTCTCCCTCACTACCATCCTGCCAGCTGCCATCTTAACCTCTCGTCAAATTCTTAAAAGAACCTGGTAGCTCCAAAGTGTTTTTAAAACCTCACTGAAAAAAAAATAAATAAATAAAAAATAAAACCTCACTGAATTAGAAGAAATAGGAAAAGGGTAAAGTAAAAGAGAGAAGGGGAACAAGCTGAAGAAACTAAAAGGAGTAGCTGAATATTATAACTGACTAAATTGATTGCTAGAGAACTCTAGGAAGACTGCAGAGTATAAAGCACCAGGAATGTCTCTTCCCACCTAGAAAACACAATATGGCAGTCATGCAGAAAATGACGAACAAAAGGTATCAGGTATACATAAAACAAAAAGTAAAATGGCAGAAGTCCCTCTTTATCATTACTTTAAGCATAAATGGATTAAACTCTCCAACCAAAATAGAGATTGGCATAGTAGATTAAAAACACGTGATTCAACTACATTTTGCCTACAAGTGACTCACTTTTGATCCAAAGACAGATTGAAAATGAAAGTGTACAAAAAGTTATTCCAGCCAAAACCGGTTTGGCTCAGTGGATGGAGCGTCGGCCTGCGGACTGAAGGGTCCCGGGTTCGATTCCGGTCAGGGGCTGTACCTGGGGT